TTATTATTATTATTATTATTATTATTATTATTATTATATAAACATTGCATTTCATCGATTTGAATCATTATAATAATTGTAAATGAAAAAGGGAGAATTGAACGAGTTAAGATATCAGTACTAGTAATTATAATATAATCTATACTAAGAGTTCATTACAATAATTTTTTCATTTGAGTCAAGAACTATGTATTTATGATCTCTAAACAAGAAATTGACTATATCTGAATGTTTTCTTAACTCATCAAATTTAAAATACTTTCTCGTTACCAAAGTTTCACAAAAAGGAAAGAAAGGCATGCTTTTGTGACAAAAAAAGACAAGCAAATCTCTACAAACCCAAAAGTTATAGTCAAAAATTGTTTACAACATCTTGACACATGCATGATTCTACCTACTTGATACCAAAAGGTGATAAGGAACTTTTTTGATCAGATAGGAAGTGACAATTTGATGAAAGCATTTAATTCAAGCATTTATTATGCCAATAGAGATTTCTCTCCTCAAGAAGCAAATTATGAAGACAAACAAAGAAAAACATAAAAGAAAAGATAAAAAATTTACATCCATAATCTTCACTAAAGCCTTATAAAACGAATTTTAAATTTCAAGAAGGGAATGACGATTGTATTATTATTTCTTCATTTTTTGTGTAATCACTTTTGCACTTAACTTGTTGTATCAAGTCTTAAAAGGAAGACGAAACAATTTTGTAAACCTTTGTAACTTTAAGTTATTAGGTTTAAGCCTATAGAGTTTTGTTTGTAAAAGAATACTCAATGTTTGAGCTTAAGAGGCTTGTTTGAAAAAAAAATACTAAATGTTTGAGCCTAAGGCTTGTTAGTAGAAGAATATTCGATGTTGAAACTTGGAGAGGCTTTGTGTAAAAAGAATACTTGGGTAGATTGCTTGAAGATGCAATAAAGAATACTTAGAATTGAGCCAAAAGTGACTTGGTAAAGAATACTTGATCTTTGATAAGATAGTGGAACTTGATTTGGTTTGATGAAGAACTAAACATAGTCTCGATGATTGAGACGAACCAATATAAATTTCTGAGTTCATTCTTTGATTTGTCTACCTGCTTATATGCATTACATTACTACTTCATTGCTCTGCAAAAATGGAAGTTTTTTATACAGTCTCCTTTTCAAATCTCAATAGGACAAAAAATATCATTTTTTAACTTTTCACTAATTTTTATATTTTATGCTTAATAAGATTTTAATTAATTATCTAATATATTAGTTTTAGCGTGCTTTGTCCTTATTCATTTACTTTATGAAAAACTTCATAAAAGGTCACTTTTTCCGAAATTTCTCCAATCCAAGCATGCTTAATTGTGGAGTTCTTAATTAATGAGTTACAGAAAAATAGATACATCTTGTTAGTATAGGTGATACAAATTAATTTCCTTTTAAGTTATCCTTAACTATACAATATCACACATACAAATCTTTTGATTCCTCTCATTCTAGTGTGTCCTGACTATTACAAGCCCACCCAACTTCCACTTTGTTCGTCCTCAAACCACATCGTATTGGGAGAGAAGACCTTCTCCGATACCAATTGTAACACCCCTAAGATTTGATGTTTTAACGACTCCAGTCCACGACACTTCACATAATGACACTTCACACAACTCCTCGTTGGTCAGAACTCTCCATGGGTACCCCTTCCTAAGATGTTTGATCATTGCTAAGATCAATGACCGTCCCCACAAACCAAGACAAGAATTTTCAACATGCTTTGTCCTTACTCACAAACTTTCTAGAATGTCATCCATTCCTAAATTGCTCTCAGCCAAACATGCTTAACTGTGGAGTTCTTAAGTGATGAGCTACTAAAAGTAGATGTATCTTTGTTGATATAGGTAGTACAAATTAACTTCTATTAAGACATCCTCAATTGTACAATCTTACACTTGTACAAATTGAAGTTTAGTGGAAAACACACAGAAGGGGGGTTGAATGTGTGTGAATGAAGGATTTTAAAAAACATTTTCGCAAAGGTGCTACTTTCCGTTAGAAAATAATATTTCAACTACGTATGGAAAGTGCAAGATTGGTTAAAAAGAACTTTGCGTCTGAAGATCTATCGTTGGTTTCCTTAGTCAAACAAATATAAGTTCGTCTAAATAATGTTTAGAAAATAAATAGTAGTAGACGAAGTTTTTCAGAGTGATAAGTCAATGTAAGTAAAACAACATTTCTAAATCAAATGACAATGAACATAGTTTTTATACTGGTTCACTCGTTCTAAGCTACGTCTAGTCTCCTTCAACTGAAGGGTTCCACTAATCACAATGAATTACAAGTATTCTTAACCACTTCTGGTTCGTCAACTTCACTTGCTGATGCTAGTATTCTTAAACCACTTATGGTTTCCCAAGTATTCTCAACCACTCCAGGTTCGTCAACTTCACTTGCTGACGCTAGTATTCTTAAACCACTTCTGGTTCTACAAGTATTCTTTTTCTAGCCTCTTCAGGCTTTACAGACAATAGTTGTTTTGAGTGTGTTTGTAACTCTCAAAAAGAGAATGGAATGGTTTCAACACTCACTAAGGTTTTCAACCTTTGTTTTACAAGAATGTGTTTAGAGTGTGTATGTAACTCTCACAAAGAGGATAAAATGATTTCTACACTCGCTAAGATAAACTATCTTAGTTTTACACGGATATTCAACTTTTTCACATGAAGAGAGGTAAGATTGTTTTGACGCTTGTTTTTGCTTATTGCTTATTGCTTCTCTTTTCTTCTTTCTTTTCTTCTCAGGTCTTGCTATTTATAGCCTTGTGATGGATCTGCCCGTTATTTGAATTTGAATGTGTCTGTTGAGGCGGAGCTTTTCATTGGTGCAGATAAACGTTCGTTCATGGCTACACAAATCTTTTTCATTTAATGCGTTTGATTTTTCATTAAATACTTTGCTTACTTAATCTGTGTTACGTGAAGTCCTTTTCATAATTTGTCTCCTTTTATTTCTAACTTCAATCATGACCTAGGTATGTTTGTCCTTTTTCTGTCATTGTAGCTACGGAGGCGTTGCCTTTCTCTGAAAAGTAGGTGCACTTGCCCTAACACACGCAACTTTGATTTATGAATTCGCGCTCTTGCATTTTTCTTCTTTCTTTTCATATCTTTGATAACTTCGTGCACTTTTCTTATGAAAGGAAATGATGTATGATTTTCCTCGTTGTGACTAGAGGACCCTAGACGCTTTTCATCATGCTTCGTTTGCGTCTAGAAAATTGAGTCTCCGTCTAAGTATTAGACTTTGACTTTTTCATCTCGTCTGATCAGTCTTGAGGGTGAATAACTTTTTATTCCGTCTGGAATGTTTCTTCGTCTTGTGTTATCCAACGACTCATGATTTTTTTGTTGACTTAAATATATATGGTTGATCCTTGAGCTTCGTTTTATGTTTATTTGGTGCTTGAGCCAACTCTGTCTTGGTCTTGCTTTGCTTCTTGTTTCTGATTTCTTATATTGCGCTCTAGATTGTTCTTGGCGTATCTTCGTTTGATATTCATTATCGTCTAATACGCAAGCCATGATCCTTCTATTATTTGGATTGTTTTGTTGGATCCTTGTTTTGCTTGACCCTGCTTCATGCTTTAGTTTTGCCTGTTCTTATACATATCTGAAACACTACTACACAGATTAGTAATAACAATGTGTATTATATTTGTCATATTCAAAACCTTGCTGGGAATTGCTTCGTCTAACTTAACACAAATCTCTAGATTCCTCTCATTTCAGTGTATAAATCTCACTTGATGAAGATGAATAGCAACAGGAAAAAGAGGCAAAATTGAGAGAGGGAAGTGGAGAAAATAATTAAAAAAAATAGAAAATGTAAAAGATAATGTCATAGAGGGAGAAGAGTTGGTTGAGGAAGTTGTTAAAAAATCAAAGAGCCAGCTAGCAAGAGAATTGAATATGAATTCCAAGGTGTCTAGTACCAAGGATGTGGCATGTCCCCAAGCCCCAAGCAAGAAGGATAAAGAGAAGCAATTTGCACGCTTCATGGAGCTTTTTAAAAAGCTTCAGATCAACATTCCATTCTCAGAGGCATTAGAGCAGATGCCTACTTACGCGAAATTCATGATAGAGCTCTTAACCAAGAAGAGAAAATTCATTGAGCAAGAGATCATTGAGTTGGAAGCGGGGTGCAGTGCCATAATTCCAAAGAACTTATCTCCCAAGTTTAAGGACCCTGGAAGCTTTACAATTCCAATTACTATTGGGAACCTATCAGTTGGAAGAACACTGCTAGACTTAGGTGTAAGCATTAACCTCATGCCCTTGTCTATGTTGGATAGAGTTAGACAGGTGGACGTAAAACTGACACGTATGACTTTGCAATTAGCTGACCGATCTATCAAGTACCCATATGGTGTGATTGAAAACATGCTAGTTAAAATTGACAAATTCATATTTCCAGCTGATTTTGTGATTATGGACATGGAAGAAGACTTTTTTGTTCCTATTATCTTGGGGAGGCCATTTATGAAGACTGCCCGAGCAATCATTAATGTAGGGGATGGTGAATTTAAATTGAGGGTCCAAGATGAGGTGATCACTTTTAATGAATGATAAAGGTGCTAGTTTCCAAATGGATGTGCTAGATGAGGTAGTGCTTGAGGCTACAAAGACACTAAAAAAATAATCTTCTCTTGAATGTGTGTTGACTGATACTATGGATGAACTCAATGAGGAAGGTGTGATTGAAATGTCTGAATGCTTGAAGCATCTAAATACCTTCAAGGAGATTCCACCTAGTGATGCAAATCATGAAGAGTTAAAAGGTGATAGCACACTAGTGAGCACTATGCTGGAGCTGAAAATACTTTCAATTCACCTCAAATATGTCTTTTTGGAGCCAAATGGTGAAAAACCAATCATCATTAGTAACTCGTTGGATCAAATGGAAGAAGAAAAATTGATTAAAGTCTTGCAGGTTCATAAGGAAGCTATAGGGTGGCCCATTTCTGACCTTAAAGGCATCAATCCAGCCTACTGCATGCATAAAGTAAACATGGAGAGTGATTACAAACTAGTAGCTCAGCCTCAAAGAAGACTAAATCCCGTTATGAAAGAGAAGGTGAGAAAAGAGGTTCTAAAGCACTTAGAAGCTGGCATGATATATCCAATTTCAGACAATGAGTGGGTGATCCCCGTACAAGTCATGCCAAAGAAAGGAGGAACGATTGTGATTACCAATGAGAAGAATGAGTTGGAGAATATGCATAGACTATCGGAAGTTAAATCAAGCCACAAGGAAGGATCATTTTCCTCTTCCTTATATGGATCAAATGTTGAAGCGACTGGCTGGTCAAACTTACTACTATTTCTTATATGGGTACTCGGGGTACAACCAAATTGTGGTTAACCCAGAGGATCAAGAAAAGATTGCCTTCACATGCCCATTCAGGGTGTTTTCTTACAAAAGAATGCCCTTTGGTCTTTGTAATGCACTAGCTACCTTTTAGAGGTGCATGCTGGAAATTTTTGCTGATTTGGTGGAGAAATGTATTACGGTCTTCATGGATGACTTCTCTATTTTTGGGGCTTCATATGATTTGTCTTTGGAGAATCTTGAGCTAGTTTTGAAAAGGTTCATTGAGACCAATTTAGTTCTGAATTGGGAGAAGTTCCATTTTATGGTTCAAGAAGGCATTGTTCTTGGCCATAAAATTTTAGCCAGAGGAATAGAAGTGGACAAGGCCAAGATTGATGTGATAGAGAAGTTGCCTCCCCCAATTAATGTTAAGGGTGTTCGTAGCTTCCTTGGGCACTCCGGTATCTACAGGAGGTTCATCAAGGACTTTTCTAAGATTGCCAAACCATTGTGCACCTTACTGAACAAGGACCAACCCTTTTCTCTTTGACAAAGAGTGCATGAAAGCATTTATGACCTTGAAGAAAAAGCTCACTACAGCTCCTTTGATTATTGCTCTTGATTGGAGTGAGAACTTTGAGTTAATGTGTGATGCCAGTGACTATGTTGTTTGTGCTATCTTGGGGCAACAGAGGAATAAGGTGTTTCACTCTATTTATTATGCCAGTAAAGTGTTGAGTGGAGCACAACTGAATTATGCAACTATAGAGAAAGAGCTGCTAGCCATTGTGTATGCCTTGGAGAAATTTCGATCTTATCTTATTGGTTCCAACGTCATCGTATACACGGATCATGCAGCCATTAAATACCTGCTCACCAAAGCTGAATCAAAACCTCAACTAATCCATTGAATCTTACTATTGCAAGAATTCAATTTGGAGATAAAGATAAGAAGGGGTCTGAGAATTTAGTGGTTGATCACCTCTCAAGATTGGTCAATGAAAAAGTTACTTGCAAGGAGGGTGAAATCAAGGATGAGTTCCTAGATGAAGCTTTGTTGTTAGTGCAAGAACATCCGTGGTTTACTAGCATGGTGAACTTTAAGGCAACTGGTATTATTCCGGAAGATTATACCTGGAAACAAAAGAAAACAAATTTTTGTGATGCCAATTACTATGTTCGGGATGACCCGTATCTCTTCAAGGTGGGGGCTGATAATTTGCTAAGGCATTATGTATCTCAAGAGGAAACCAAGAACATATTGTGGCATTGCCATAATTCCCCCTGTGGAGGTCATTTCAATGGTGAACGAACTGCAGCCAAAGTCCTATAATCGGGGTTCTTCTGGCCAACATTGTTTAAGGATGCCTACAATCATGCAAAGAGTTGTGGTAGATGTCAGAGAATTGGAAATATCCCCAACCGCCTTGAACTACCATTGTAGAACATGCTTGAAGTGGAGGTCTTCGATTGTTGGGGGATTCATTTCATAGGGCCCTTACCATCTTCTTATTCAAATGAGTACATATTAGTGGTTGTGGACTATGTTTCCAAATGGGTTGAGGCTGTGGCTGCACAAAAGAATGATGTTAAGATAGTGATCAAGTTCCTCAAGAAAAATATCTTCTCCAGGTTTGGTATCCCAAGAGTTTTGGTTAGTGATGGGGGAACTCACTTGTATAATTCTCAGTTAAAGAAAGTGTTGGAACACTATGTTGTGCGACACAAGATGGCTTCTCCTTATCACCCGCAAACAAATGGGCAAGTAGAGGTCTTGAATCGGGAAATCAAGCATATCCTTGAAAAGATGGTGAATGTAAGTAAGAAGGATTGGGATCACAAGTTGGATGATGCGTTATGGGCCTATCGCACTGCATATAAGACGCCTCTTGGACTGTCACCATTTCAGATGGTTTATGGAAAAGCATGTCACTTGCTAGTTGAGATGGAACACAAGGCATATTGGGCTATCAGGTTCTTGAATTTTGATCCAGCCCAATCAATTCAAAAGAAACAATTATAGCTGAATAAATTAGAAGAATTATGTCTCAATGCTTACGAGTCAGCTAAGCATTACAAGGAAAGGGTGAAGTTGTATCATGACCGAAAGATACTAAAATGAGAGTTTCATCCAGGATAACTTGTGCTCCTTTACAACTCCTAGTTGAGACTATTTCTAGGGAAGTTGAAGTCAAAGTGGTCGGGGCCATTTAGAGTTAAGCAAGTTAGGCCTCATGGAGCAATACAAGTGGAGGATCTTGCCTCCAAAGAGAGTTAGGTGGTAAATGGCCAAAGACTCAAACTCTACCTAGGCGGTGAAATTGAGCGAGCTTATTCCACCGTTGAATTGAACAACCCTTGAACTCTTGGCTTGTCAAGATAGTGACATAAAATGAGCGCTTTATGAGAGGCAACCCATCAATCCTAATCCAAAAACAAGTTAGAATGCATTTAATTTTAGTTATTTTTTGTTAGTGTGTTTTAGGTGTAGGTACATATTTAGTCATTGTGTTTGCTTCTTAGTTGAGAAAACATTGTGATTGTGATGGCTTGAGGAACTTCATGTTGAGCTATATTTGAAAAGTTTGAAAAATCTACAGTAATTTTGAAATTCAAGCTCAGCATGAAGTTCCACGCTAACTATATTAATGCAGAGGAAAAAAGAATTCTTTAGAAGTTCCACGCTCAGCCTCATTTTCATGCTGAGCCCCAAAAATGAACTGGAAAATTGGGATTTCTCTCTAGAACACCCATGCTAAGCTCAGGATTCACGCTCAATGTGGACTAAGAGAATTTAGGGGCCTGGAACTCTCACGCTAAGCCCCGGAACCCACGATTAGCCTGGGAGTCACTTTTTACAATAAATCTTTTCACTCTCTTTCCAGGAGCCCATTCTTTTCCTCTACCCTTATTTAACCTCTCACTATCACTCTCAAACCCTAGGCTATATTCTTCTCCTTCTCGAGTTCTTTCTTGCTCTTGGTGTGGGTAATGCCACATTTCTCTCTTCTTGTTCACCAAAGGCGCGAAGGTAAGTCTCTTTCCCCCAAACTTTTGTGGTTCCTTCCATTGTATGCTTCTTGGTTTCATATTCTTATCTCTCCATTGATCTAATACCCCTACCCATTTTTGCGCAAACCCTTTCATTCATGGTGTTTTTTATTATATTTTCATGGTTAATGTTCATTGATGGTGTTTGCCCATGTGTAGTGATATATCTTTGAATCGATCTTCTTTAAACCCTTAGAAATCTTGTTTTTGTAAATACCTAGTACAAGATTGATGCTTTTTTCTAGTGTAGTTGGTTGTGGGTTGTTGTAAAGAAGAACCAAGGGGGAGCATTACTGCTGTAACCCCTCACGCTGAGCCTGGGCTTGGCGCTTAATGTGGATCTGGCAGAAACTTCTGCCCTGCATCTGCACATTCATGTTGGACGTGTGAATGACACTTAACGTCTCAATAGCAGCTTGGTTGTTGATTGTTTTGCCTGATTTTGTGCCATCCTGATTGCATGTTAGAGGTTCTCTTATTTACACTATTAAATTAGTTGGCTGCCATGTGATTTTTGCTCCATTATTATTCATTGATGGTGTTTGCCCATGTGTAGTGATATATCTTTGAATCGGTCTTCTTTAAACCCTTAGAAATCTTGTTTTTGTAAATACACAGTACAAGATTGATTTTTTTTTAGTGTAGTTGGTTATGGGTTGCTGTAAAGAAGAACCAAGAGGGAGCATTACTGCTGCAACCCCTCACGCTGAGCCTGGGCTTCGTGCTTAGCGTGGATCTGGCATAAACTTCTACCTTGCATCTACACATTTCACGTTGTGCGTGTGAGTGACGCTTAGCGTCCCACTAGCAGCTTGGTTGTTAATTGTTTTGCCTGATTTTGTGCCTTCCAAATTGCATGTTAGAGGTTCTCTTGTTTACACTATTACATTAGTTGGCTGCCATGTGATTTTTGCTCCATTATTATTCATCGATTGGCTTTAATCGTTGCTTTCATTACCCTTGTACCTTCATGTTACAAAACTTTCAGGATGGCTCCACCAAAGACACGCCCTGAGAAAAGAATTAAGACCACTGCAGGGTGAACATCCCGTTCACCTGCATTTGACTCTCACACTTTTCGTGATAAGGAACATCAGGATTTTTATCCAAAGTTGGAAGAGAGAAGTCTCTGGATGGAGAGGATGGTTAAACTCACCTAATAAATACCCTAAATTTCAAGAAGAAATCAAAAGAAGGAAGTGGGAAAAGCTAGCCTCCTATATGGCCCTTGCCAACATTTCTGTTGTGCGGGAATTTTATTGTAATGGTCGGGGTCTTAGTAATGAGTTCCTTGAGTGCACCAGCTATGTTAGGGGTATCACTATCAGGTTTGATGCAGCCACCATTAATGCTTTTCTAGGCACCTATCTGATAGAAGGCCTCAAGTATTGTGAGTATTCATATTGGATATTCCGCAACAAGTATTATGAGCTAGTGGAACAAACTGTTTGTAAACCAGGGAAGAAATTTCAGTACACGAGCAAGGGAAAGATATCTTATATCCTAAGGGAAGATTTAATCCCAATGGCAAAAATTTGGGTGGCTTTTATTCATGCCAATCTTGCTCTGTGTTGCCACACTTATGATGTTTTGGATTCAAGGGCATTGCTTCTCTATGCTATCATGGATAAAAAAGTTATTAATGTCAGGGCACTCATAGTTGATGAGATTGGAAATTATGCACAACATACAGGTATCTTGGGTCATCCTTCACTCATTACACATCTCTATCATCGAGCTGGAGTTGATGCCACTAAAACACCCTTTGAGAAGCTGAAGATGCCCATCAACAAAGTCTACATTGATACCTATTGCTACAAGGAGATTCGTAGAAAGACTTCCAGTACCACAGCTTCTTCCTCTCGAGCACCGCCACCAGTTAATGTTATGGACTCCCAACACTAGGAAGCTATTAATGCTGCTATGCTTCGTAGTGAGCAGAGGGATGAGGCCATGTTTAGAGTTGTTACTATGGTGATGGACAATATTCGTGGCCTTTCCATTCATGCACCAGGACTCATCCCAAATTTTCACCCATCTTCAATTGCAGCTTATTTTGCTCATTTAGCATGGCCAGGGGGCCATCATTAATAGTAGGGGGAGGTGATGCAACTGATGATGATGAGGAGTATGAGGATGAGGAATTTAGTGAGGAGGATGACGATGAAGAAAAGTCAAACATGGCTAAAAAGGATGAGGAGGAAGACTAAGCTATTTCACTTTGGAAAACTATGTTCTATTATTTTGTTTTGTTATCCTACTGTTTACTACTTTATTAACCTTTAACCTTTTGTTGTGTATTGTGAGTGGTATGGATGCTAATTAGTAGTAAACTTTGCATGTGTACATATTTCAATGATTCTGACTGTGTGGTTTTAATGCATTTTGAAAACTAGTAAATAAAAAATCAGGTGTGCATGTATTCCTTAGTGAACAAGGGTATTTTAAGACACGAAATCAAATATGCTTGTGGTTGCACTCTAGGGATGATTAGTGATT